GACTTCTAGCCCAGATGCAGAGCTTTTTCAAGAAGGGCATTTTGGTGAAAGGAAAACAGTAAGAAGCACCTAAATTTTTAAGAGTCATTTAACATGAACACAGGAATTTCCTCTTAATAAGACACATTGGAGTAAGGGAATGAGTTAACATTAGGTCACATTTTCCTTTCCTCAATTTAACGCTTTATCCTCTGACAGACATGGTGCATTTTAACAACCTGTTAAATACACTTACATGCCAAAGCAAAATTCTGCTAAGCTGTGGTAATTGCTTGGCTTCAAGTATGAAGTTCAGCTTGTAAAAATCACAAGATCACACCGAAAAAGTCATTGCAATATTATACTCTTGCACTGGACATTTTTTAAATGGAGAGTAATTTTTAGGTTTTAACCTAGATAATTTCTGTGCTCTAGTTTACAATGCTGCGGTCGCACAGGAAGCGAGGGGAGAGCCAACAAGTTACACTGGAACTTTATGCTACTACCTTTGCTGCCGAAGACAGTTGCAGCCAAATGCCAGCACTTTTCACTAAGGCATATGAAACAGTTAAGCAAATGCAGTTACTTTGCTCAGAAAACACTAAGCTATTAGATTTCTACCAGTTTTAAACTGCAAGAGTAGGGTCAAACATCCTGTTCTAACCACTGCTTATCTGGATTAGAAAGGACCAGTGTGATGGTTGTGGTGGTTTGATGTGTGTGTGGGCGTTCTGGTGGCAGCAGAGGGAATTTGCTCCCTGTGACCTCCTGGTTCTGGCCACCAGATCCCATCCTTGTTAGCTTAAATAAGGCAATTCGCAGAGGCGCCGATTGGCTCAAACCCTGAGGGGGATGGGAGTCCTGCCACCAGAACCTCCCCCCCGCCCCGCCCAAAACATCACAACCAGGATGTGGCAATAGGCACCTACAGGCAGTACTCATCCAGCTTGTATGCATGGCAGTCGACTGTGTCTTGAGTATTTGGCAAATACAAGGTACAACTTTACGGGCCCAATCCTGAGGCACTAACTGAAAAAGCACATGACTTAAGACTCTAACTCAGGACAGAGGGTCACATCTCTGGGAATAGCTGAATGATCCGATCATCCAGCTGCCTTTTATCTTGTCTCCAAGCGGAGACTATATAAGGGAGTGGGAAGTGCCTAGCTCTGCTGCAAAGGACTGGCTGACTTCCCACTGAAATGAAGTAAGGTCTCCCATGAACCACCTTGCCAGCCTATCCCAGACAGCTGGAAAGCAGTAACCTATTAAATGACCTAATTCAGCTAAAGATGCTGGTAAGCATCTGGTAAGCATTTCTCCCTTGTATTCATATTGTCATCATCCAGAGCATACAGAGGTGTTATGCTAGAATTATTACTTTAGACTTCCACAGCTG